TGGCATTTTTGCAAATGAACAACCCGTAGTGGTATTTTTGCAAATATACACACCAAAAGTGACATTTTTGCAATTATCCCTTGTTTCATTGGTTCAAATTTTTCAATAACAAATCAAATACATAATAATTTAGAACAATAATTAGATAGTTTATAAGTTGTTATTTTATTTTTTTATTTTTCTTATAAATCTTTATCTATCAAGTTTCATTATGCATAAGTTTAAATTATATATTTAAATTATTTTTACTTGATATTAACTAAAACTAATAAAATTAGTAATATGAAATTACTCATTGTAGTTTGATATGTTTTCAAAAAAAATATTAGTGAAAGAGTTTTTAAAAATATACATGAACTAGTTTAAAATATATTATTTATATCAATAAGAAACCTTATTGAGTATCAAACCATTGAAAGTGAAGAACTACTATATGTTTTTCAAATTAAAATATATTAAAATTATTAATATTATATTGCTTAAAAACTCTATGGAGTTCTTACCATTGGAGGTGCTTTTAAAGTTTCTTCAACGCTCGTATGACCATAAAAATTGAAAAAAATGAAAAAATCCTACATGTTGTACTATTGTGAATGGTTTAACTTTTTTTTTTGGGTTTTATTAAATTTTATTTAATTACATTACAAATATTAGTAATAGTATTATATTAAGAAGAGATTCTTTATTAAAGATGCTCTTAACACACTTTTTGTTAACTTTTTCTAGGGTGGGCATTGAGTGTCTCGTTCGGATTCGGTTTGAGTATTTCGGATTTTTTTATTTAGGCCTAAAGTACCATTCGGGTTTATATTTTATTCGGCATGGTATCAGACCGGATCTCTTCAGAATCGGTTCAGTTTTGGTAGATCTAAAGTACCTCATAGTGTAAATAAATTCAAGTGATTATTGCATCAGAAATTCAAAACCAACAAATGAACACAACAAGTACATTTTTGCATTCATAATTAAGAACTTAAAAGTGTGACCAGAGGATATAAATTAAAAACTTAAAACATCAACTGAAATATCCACTAAAAACAAAGTTTAAGTTCAAACTGAAACCGAAATGTCTAAAAAATAAAGATTTAAGGTCTTTTGAACCAACTTATAACTAGGCACCAGCCTTAAAAGTAGAATCAAACAACTTTGGATATTTCCAGCTTGAAATTTTGTTTGAATCCTTCCAACTTGAAATTTTGTTTCGATATATTAAGTGACGAA